CTCCAGTTTTTGGAAGCCTTTAGGAAAAAATATTACAGTTTAATATTCAAAACCGTCTGAAAAGATGAAAATTTTTAACGCCATTCTTTCAATCTTTTAAGCCCCCTAAGAAAAACAATTTAAATTACATTAAATTGTAATTAAAATTGCAATATGCAAGTGCAATTAAAATGAGATGGTTCGAGAATTATTATAATACTGAAACTGTAAAATAGAATAGTATCATAAATAAATTAAAAAATTATCATGACCATCAATGCAATTTTCCGATTTCATATACAAAATTAGCCTTGTAAATTAGATGCAAACTGTTGCAAAAATATGTCGTTTTTCCTCAAATTTGAATCTTCTTAAATCCATTTGAAAAATGGGTAGGGAATTTTAATTACTTTTTAATATATAAAATTTCGCGTAAATGATTTTAATGCGACAGTTGAGGTTGACTGTGCGATGCCAATCAGTGGCCTAAGGTACGAACTAACAAACGAACGTTAGTGCTTCGATAAGTGCTTTTTATTCTGTTGAGGTAAATAGCCAAATAATAATTAAGGATAGAATAAGTGAATGACTCTATTATAATTTATATAAGTGGCTCTATTCTCATCATATTGATTAGAAGATTTGAAAATTGTGAAAACCATTTTAAGTGCTTTCATTAAAATATCCCAAGAGAATAGCAATAGCTTGGACGAAGATAATGAATAAAGTGGCAAAAAAAATTGATGAAGTTTTTTATTAAGTGCTTATTAAAAAATGCTTATAACTTATGGAAATTTTGAAAATTAAGAACATTCATCGAAAATTTCGACGAGAAATGAGTGCAGTTACCATTTAATAAAGGTTGGGCAAATAACAAAACACTTGATATGTATTCAGCAACCATTTCGAATCATCGTTTAAGCTACTAAATTCCTTCTTCAGGGACATGCAGTTTAATGATTTACGAGGAAAAATTCATTAGCATAAAAATTCATTAATTCATTTTAAAAAATTCATTAGCTTATTAGAATGTTTAATTATTAAGGGATGATTTTTTAATGATAAGAGGCGGAATCCGAAAGCCCTGATGATAATCAAGAAACATTGGCTATCCTGTTTCTTTTTTTCGAAATTTACTAAAATTTTATAAAATTGTTGAGTGATACTCACTGGCCAACATTAAATAATCAAGTTACGCTGGCTTTTATTTGTCATAAATGAGGATATTCTAGATATTGGTGTTGCAGCAATTTCTTCCTATGATGCCTATAATAAAATCGAAATGCCTCACCGAGCACTAGATGTTCATTAAGATAATGAGCTGTAATATCCAGACCTGCTTATCTGTTGATAGCTCTGATAGCCAGTAATGATGAATTGCAACTTATTAAAGAAATGATAACCAGAACAGTTAATAAATAAATTCATCAAAAGAAAAAATTTAGAAAGAAGGAATAATGGGAAATTAATTAAACACCAGAAATAATTATGAAAAGGAAAATCCCGCTTCCACATTTTAAAAATACGAAAATTTAGAAGATTAACGAAAATTTCTGTTTAACAAATAACATTATCACCCATCTTGTACGTGAGCAGAACAATTTCTGGCAATCTATGACAATGTAATTGCATTTTTCCTTTATGGCAATAAAAACATCTGTTATTATTTCATTCATCCTAAAAATAAAAGATATTCGATAAGTGAAATATTTTATGCAAAATTAATAAATTAAACACAAGATAAATGGCGGAAATGTGCACCATGAATAGATATATTTCTCTTCGAGCGACGCCCACCCTTCCTTCTCCAGTTCCAGTGGCTATTAGGGTGAGACCATTTCAATCGGAGATTTTTTGGTAATCTCCTCGTGACAAAAAATTAAGAGATAAAGCTGAATTCATGGTGTTTGAGATCGAAAACATCCTGTACAAATTAACATCCCGTCCTGTACAAATTAATATTTCTAACCACAACTTGAGAGCATTTATTACCATTAGCGTTATTGGTGTTTATATATAATATAATATGTACGTATATGATGCAAATTTGGTTGCAAAAATTCGTGGAATTACAATCCAAAAAGAAGAAAAAAACTACTTTTTTGAAATTTCAAGAAAGGGCTGTTTTATTTTGAGGAATGTTCAAATAAATTGGATTGAAATTATAAAAGTCGAAGATCCGCAGTATTTTATATAGCAATATCCTCAATATGGTCACATTAAAATGTAATATAGTAAATGCAATAAATGTAATAAAAATGTAATAAATGTAATGTAATATGTATAAAAATTTAACGTAATACAGGAATAATATAGCAACTTTCAATTTTGCTTCAATTTCTAATGGGAATATTGACAGATATGATAGATCTACATAAAAGAAAAAGATTGTATTCCATAATTTTTTGAGTTTAAAAGGGTCCCCATTAATTTTGAAGAGGCTAAAAGGATCTTCAAAAAACTTTAAGAATTTAAATGGGGCGTCTCATTTTTAGAATCACGTACTGCACAGCTCAACGAGGCATTGTTCCAGATTTATATTGAAAGGCAATGCTTTGAAGTAACCAATTCGGTGAAGAATGATGACGAACCGGCCGTATTAATAAGGGCACTAAGCAGTTTTTTGTAGGATTTCTAAAAAACCGCTTCCTATTCGTGTCGAAAATCCTATAAAATAACTGTACAAACATTCGCAATTTAAAAAACGAATGTAATTTTTTCATCTATAATAAAATAAGCAGCGAAATTCTTTCTTTGTAATGTGTAGTTGTGGCTTTTTTGTTTTCCGAGTCTTTCAGATATTTTGAACAATTGAAATAAAATTTTTTGGGGGTTTGAGTTTAAAAAACGAGCAGCGTTAATTCGAAATATGCATTGGTGCGCAAATGAAAAGGTACTCAAGTAAAATCACAGATCGACCACCACAGTGCAAATGCTCAAGTTCATCAGTGGAATACAAACTTAAGCAAATTTTTTACGGTTCATTCTTTTATAAAACCCTCATATGGAAATATGCGGTGCTCAAGAGAAATACTATATGTATTATGTAGCCCACTTCCGCACCTTCTTCTTCTGACAGCGACAGCATTATCGGTTTGACTGGTTCCATCAAAAAACAGGATACCCGTTTCGCCAAAGAGATACTTAAAGAGAGAAATGCAAATCACTCCGCAGTTTAATGGAAGGCGCATTCTTTTAAGTTTTTTCGCAAATTTTAAAATAAGAGAAAATTGAATACTTTTTACAGCATATAGAATTTTTGATAAATTTTTTTTTGTATGTTATTTGGAAGTGTCGGATGGTTGGATGGTCGAATCATTCAGCCAAATTTTATCAAAAACAACTAAAACAACTTTCTGCACGACTGCTGCGATGGTTGCATTTCTTTCACAAACAAAAGGCCTTTTAACCCCCTTCAAATTTTTTTAAAATTCTGCGAACCAACTTGGAACGATTTATTCTTATTCCCTATTGCTATTACTTCGAATTTCTCGTCGAACTTATAATTTCATATGAATGAACAATTTTTTCGCATTTTAATTATTCACTCTGCTATAATTTCAATCCAATCAATCGTATGAAAATATTTCCATTCAGCGACATAAAAAAAGGAAAGAACAATGCTTCAAATTCAATGCTTCGAGAGAGAAATCCTCTAAATCAACGGAACGAAATTCCGTTATTCAATAAATTTCTCTCTTTAAAGCGGATTGAAAAGAGGGAGAATAAATGAATAAATAAAATTGGAGGACCGACTGCAAATCCAATTCCCTAATCAAGAGAAGTGGTACCTGGCATTTGGTCAAACATCGAAATGCTAATAATATCGATGGTAAAAATAAAATTAATCTGAATAAAGATCGAAGATCAAAAATTGAAAAGGGGACGAAGTTACTGCTGCCGAGGCGGGCAGAAGCCCGTTAACCGCATGCCGAGATAGTTAAGTATTATCCACAATTAAACAAATTTCTCTAAGCAAATAGCACAAGAGAAACAATTCCACCGGTTATTTCTTTGCTCATTAAAAACCTGCAATCGCTTTTCATCAATTTAATGGCCATTTCTCAAAAATAATTTTTGCACGACCCCTGTGGCTGACATTGCCCACCTCGAACCCCGTCTTCTGCCAAGTGCCTGAGAGACCCGAAGTTTGGCAAAGTAAGAAATGAATTTTTGATAAATCGTAAAATCAAAATAAAGAACATCAGAAAAAAATCGAACTTAAACGCTGAGAGACAAAAAAATTTCGAAATTTCGAAATTGCTTTTCGAAGATTGGAGATTAATGTGCAAATGAGACTGGCACAAATGCCGCTTGGTGCATGACACATTGTGATTAATGTCTTTTTCATTTTAGTGCTATTTGTTTGCCAATGAACAACTATAGAAAAAACATACTGAACAACCAACTGACTCAACTATTCCGCCCAAGTCAAACTTATTTCACCAATGCGTAAAATATCGCTTTTCCCAGACCTGACACTCAACACCGTCGATCATAAACGAATATATCCAAATCTGATTGAATAATCACTTGACGGACGATAATCAATTAACAAATGTTTACATAATTATAAAAATAGAGAGATTAACGTTAGACTGAATCGCTATTAATGCAGAATTATCTTAATCCTCATTCGTTTCTCACCTACAGCAGTATAATTCCAGCTTCATTATCAAGAGGCTTGTTATTATGGTGAAGATGGCAGAATATTTAGCTTCTATTGTCCAATTTTTTACAATAATCAGTTTTCAGCCATCTTCACTGAATATCTTTGAAAATGGAAATTTTATTTGGAAGTTTCACATTTTATAATTAAATGAATATTCTCGAAAGATTTTTTTTTTTTCTTAATACTTTTGCAGTTTTAATCTTTTCCTTATAACTAAGTAGGAAGAACAAATGAAAAATGGCAATGAAAAAATTACAAACTTTGCCAAATGGCCAATTCAAGAAAAAGGAACAAAAAACGATTTATATTAATAACACTGTTTTCATACAATCTTATCAATTCACCAATATCAGCAATGTATAGCTACAACTTTTGACTCTTTATTTAAAATAGGACGGTTTTTAGGCCACCAACGCAAACGATCTGGATCCAGTTTTAATTTGGGAGGACGACCCATGTTAATTGACCTACAGTGGTCGACCAACCGCCGTGTCATCCGAACGACATGATCTCCTTTCCAATATTTGATTAACTGCAAAGTTTGCAGAGTCGAAATAATATCATCTTCAGCAATGCGCGATGCTTCACTAAGATTAGATACCTTAAAAATAATCTCTCATATTAATAAAAAAAGAATATTAAAAAAATTTCATCCATCCAACAACACAATTTAAAATTTACCGTAACGTCATCAATGTTAAGCCTATCTAATGCATCAAGGATCACCCACCACCAGTAGCTTCTATAGCTTACTTTACCAAGATCAGAAAGTGGTTTCTCCGGGGTGCCAATTATACCTTGACGAGCTGATAATTCATAACCTGAAAAAAATTATGAGGATTTGAAAATATAATTTAACACCAAAAAAAAATCCTTTTGGGTTAATTAAATAAATAAATAAGCAATTACTTAATTGAATTAACAATTTTCCATATCCCTTCCGTTGAAAGGGTGGTAGAACCATAATGCAAGCCAAATTATTAACTGATACGCGTTCTTTTGAAAAATGCCCAACAATATGAGCACCTTTTCGACTAACCTAAAATAAAAATCCCGGAGAATTTCAAATAAAAATTTAAAATATTTCTATTTCCCAGCAAAATCTCCAGAAAATTCACCCAGAATTTTCAACAAAAAATAAAAGTTTTCTGTGGATTAGTTTCTTACCTCGCAAAGCACGTAAAATATGAATGTTTCCACATCAAAAAATAAAGTTTTATGATCAAGGAACAATTTTGACAGGAGACATAAACACTGGCAATATGCCTAAATATAAAGAAATTGTTGAATCTATTTATATTTTATTTTAAATTGACTATTTTATAATGTTCCATATTTTGCTTGTAATTAAGCAAAAATATGCAGAAATATTAAAATAAAGGCTGATTAAAAGGTGATGACCTTGTTCAATTTTCCATCTACTTCAAAGATTGATAATCGGTTCTTCCTATAAATTTCATCACCAGGTGGCTGGCGCCGATCACAATAGTGCAACTGGAAACAATGAATACTGGTAACTGATTGATTGTAAATGAAAGCAATAGAATCTTTACGCATAAGACGATTAATATAAATGGATAATTTCAAAAATGCTTTATAGCCAAATAAAGGTTTTGCTTATTTTCAGTAAAAAAGTCAAAAAATCACCTTATGGCAACAGTATTCTTGTTCTGTTAACATGTAAGCCAAACAGTATTCACAAATATACAACATTCGACTCCTACTGAATTCACCAGGATAGGGAGAAACATACCAAGCATCAATGATATAATCACCAAAACGTATTTGTTCAATATTTTTCACTTTCGTCATCTATAAAGATTTATAAAACTGATACAATCACTATGTATCACTTTCACTTGACAAAAAAATATTTGGCCAATAAAATTCTGGGGTAAGATAAACTCAAGAACTCAATTAATTTAAAAATCACTGTTTTCAAAATGCGAGGTTTAAAGTATCATATTGTAATCATAAATGAATTTCAATAAACATCAACATCTGATTACCTCAGCGTGTTCCTTTTCCAATCTGGCGGTGGTAGCATCCATATCTTCATAACTTTTTTGAACATGATTGAATTCCTCATGAATACGTCGCTGACTGCGAGTTAATGTGCCACTCTCCAGCACATTACCAAACAATGGAGGAACAACCTATATTTTAAGAATCCTCTCTTTATTTATGAAATCAATATGATAATTTCAGTGAATATTCAGTGAAACCACAAAAGATATATACTTTTTAATAATTGCAAAAAAATAACCAGCACAGAAGGTGTAACAGGATTTGCTCGTTCAAGAAATCTTTCTCTTCGGACCCATTCATCTAAACGTCGATCCATACCATCATAATGAACATAATATCTGCGACTGTCTGACTTCATTGAATGATTACTTAAAATCACCAATTAATAGAAATTTTATTATTATTTTTAGTACAATTTTTTGCAAAATTTTATCAAAAAAATTATTTGGGTATTATAGCAAATCCTAAAATATGCTAATCTATTTATACACTTCAAATAAATACCCTGAATCATCACAAATTTCCATTTTTTCATCACCGCCTTCTTCACACACTCTATCGATCAATAAATCGCAAATATGCCGAATATCTTCACTTATTTCATTGGAAAAGCTGTCAGTTGCCCGAACTCCTTCACAATTCTAAATAATTATAAAAATTATTAAAAAAATAAATATTTATAAATAAATTATTGAAATTATAAATTTGAAATTTATAAATAACTATAACTGTGCATAATAAGATGAAAAATGAATAAAAGTACGAGAAAAAAGCAAACCTGACATTCCCTGCTTGATGATTCTAAGCCTTCCTCCCGAATATCCACAATTGTTGCAATGCACCGTTCATCAGTCGCATTATTTGGTGAACGACGTAAAACAATGAAAGTTTCTCCAACTTTTAATTCAGTAAATGGTGTTAACGTTGGAGGCAATTGTGATGATAGAGAACGCTCTTTTTTAATTTTCTTCTGCATACTAGAATAACAAATGAAAATTATATAAAGCCAGCACCAACGAATAAAAATTCAGCAAAATCACTGGAAAACATAATCAAATTAATTCTATTCAGATAACAAATAAATCAAAAAAACAAATCGGGACAAAGGTGTCAACTGCATCACAAAAGACAAAAAAATAATTGAAGTAAATATTAATAAATAAATAATAAATAAATAATTAAAACAATTTTTTTCATTTCTAGAACAGCAAAAATTAATTCTCCGAACTTAATAAAATAAACGTTGTACAACAAAAAAGTATATTTAAAATATATTAAGTATATTTAAAATAACAAATAACAACCTAAAATAAACAAATAAAAAGGGAAAGAAATGAATAATTACGGCGCTAAACCATTAAAAAAAGAAGTGAATGAACAAATGAATTAAATTAATAAGCAATAGCATATAAAGAAAAAGATGATAATAGCACCGAAATATGCCAAGTAATTGCCAAAAGTTTGCAAATAATTCCTTAATTTTTCCATATATTTTACTACATACACTTTTACAGTTTAAAAGCGACTAGTAAAACATCTGAAAATACTTGAAACAAATTTAAATTTACATATCGTTATCAAATTTAAATCATTTCCTTCAGTTTCCGTCAATTTTACAGCCAGTTTAATCATGGAACTTTCATTTTTTTCCTCATCACCATAAATTTATTTAAGCTATAACAATTTAGTCAGCGATAGGCGTCGTTACTGCATTAAACCAAATATAAATGCGTGCCTCATTCCGATCAGTTCATTCTCACTTACCAGTTGGTCCTTTCATTATAAAAAAGAACTGTAGAAATCTAAAAAATACAGGACACTATCGCCAGAGAAAAAACTCCACGTCCCAGACTGAGGCCAAAATTTACCTAATTCAGTTTGGGTTTCACATTACTGTAACAAATCTTTTGTCTTATTAGTGCCCATATCTAGAAAACTTCATTTTTCAGATAAATTTCAATCAGTAAATGTAATCGAGATGAATATACTATATTATATCTTACAAATTTATATCTTACAAATTTTCACCTATTTGTATATTTCATTCACAACGTATTTCAGCTATAATAACTCGTCTTGGCCGAGAATTTTGGACAAATCACCATCCCTACATTATTAATTCAACGGACGGAGGTCACGACAATCCCCCACTAAAACTTTCCCTCTCTCAAACCACCCCACCAACTGACGAGTTCCATACACGACGATTTGAAAGTACAAAATTAAGCAAAAAAAATTATGAAATTAATTCTGATAGTACAGGTAATCGTTGCAAGACCATTCGACATATAGCAGCGCAATATTAAAAATTTATTGCTAAAAGATTTTATTAATCATCAAAAATTGTAAAGTAAATATAGGAAGTGGTCGTTCCTCATTTAAAACAGAGTCCACCGTTTATTCCAAATTTGCCAGCGATTGAGGCAATTTATAGCGATTAAAAGCGATACAAAATCTCATTTTATAGAATCGATCGCCATCGAATTTGTCACATAAAATTTCTTTGCTGTTCGCTCTTCAAAATCGCTTCTCATTTTTATTACTAAATTCGTAAAAATAAAAATAAAAAAAGATTTTTGTAAAATCATTTTTGAATGAATTTTTGTAAAAACTGCATTCGAAAATTCAGTGTAAGGATAAGTGTGTATGGCTTGCGCTGCGGGAATCGCTCTATTCGTCGCGACGGCCAACGGCGAACGCGGTGTGAAACGCGCGAAGGTGACTGTGGGGACCATGAATCGGTCAAGTACGAGTGGCCAAGTACCACAGAGTCTTCGTTGCCGTCTTTTTATTATTTATTTTATTATTTATTGGTTTAATTAGCAAAGTTTACGGTTAATTACGATCCGATTGTGGTTTTTACGCGACAGCAATGCTCGAAAGAAAATCTGTATGTGAAAAGAAATTGATGCGCATGTAGGCGATTAGTTGGCAACACTTCGTCGGTGGCAATGGGAATTCCTTAGAAGCAAATATGTAACAAGTTAAGAATTTCTTATTTGAACATATTTTCAGTCAGACTGGTAGATTCCCTTCCAGTTCATCCTATGGTCCCGCTCTCCGTCGTACAGCAAGCCGGCTACAGCCATCTTCGCCCTTATTCCTTCCTTGATGATGTGGTCGACAGCAATCCAGTGCTGTGCTAAACGTCTTGCTCAAGAGGGTTTCGCTCTTTTTGATGTATATCACTGGCTTAACATCCTCTGTTACAGGCTGCACCTTAACATTATCACTGTATGCTGATTATCAATTTTATTACACTTATGAAATGACGTCTTAAATCTAGTGCAAGAGAATTTAGATCATATTTCGATTTGGGCGACCAAAAATGATCAAAGTTTTTTCCAGAAAATTATTTTAGCCTATTTATTGATAAAAGAAACTTTATTCTTCTAATTCGGGATGTATCATAAATGGGTAATATTTCAGGAATTCGCATTGGTAATAAACTCTTAATCTGAAACCGTTGTCGAGACTTAGCAGCTAATTGCTGAAATAGATGTTTTCTTTCTATATCTATTTTTTTCATAATTCATAGTCATAAAAGTTGCATTAGGCCTATAAGAAATTCATCAATGTGTTACAGACCCAGGATTTATATCATCGAAAATATTTAAAAGCTCCTTATCTATAGGATCTTTATGATTGAAGATTTTTTTTTAGAGTCCTAGTTAAACTCGCTGCGCTGGCTTATCGGGCTGTACAGATATACCAGATAGTCCCTCGGCGATAGAAGTAGAGATGAGCTGCCAACATCATCCAGATTTTTGCTCGTTTACTCCTGCGGGAAGTAGAACCTCAGCATTGACGCTCGAGCAATACCCACCCACTCAGCCATTCTATTTGATTGAAGATTTGCCTTATAAAAACTGTAAGTAGCAAAGCTGCTGGCTATCAGAAGACTTAGAGATGATATGATAATGAATTATAAGGTTTTATATGGTTTTATTGACATAGATCAGGAAATATTTTCGATTTATCAATGAGCTCGAATGCAACAGGATCAAATGAGTTGAAACTCTTGAAACTCGGGCGTCGCCAATATAAAAGGAAATATCGCGGCTTTGGCAGCCAAAGCCTGAATGAACTTCTTAGAGAGGTCATACTTACCGGAAATCTGCAAAAATTCGTCAATATGATTAAACATCGTTGGTGCCTGCATTCTATTTCAGCGATATTTTATTTCAGTTATCCATTATGGAAGGATAGATAAATGGTGATGGTGTGGTAAGCAAATTTGATTTGATTTCTTCCTAATTTATTTCATTTTACTTTCTTTACTTTTTACTTTCCTCTCAGTTTCGTCACATTATTTGCCTTCTTTTCGAATAAACTCATTCAAATAAAAAACTGCGCAAAATTCGCAAAACGTTTTCAGATTTAATTTTTAACTTTAATGACTTTTGCTCGTTCATATTGGTGGTAAAGTTTTTGAAAATTTTTGTGTAATTATTAGATGTATTTTTCTTTTTTGTTTAAATTAAAAGTTAAAATTAATTAAATTTTTGATAGAATCCTTGAAATCTCAAATCAGTCTTTATTTATTTTGTTTCTGCAAAATCAGATAAGAAGCAAGATAGCCGAGTAGGTAGCATCATAATTATTAGGAAATTCTTAGGAGCAAACCTGTCATTGGAAAATTCTGGTGATGCTGGCTACTCACATGCACTTCTCTTGTGAGAATTCTAGCAAAAACCAAGCGCAGCCACAAATGGTGATAATAATTAAAATAGGAATATCATGCCTAATTCTTTGATGAATTTTCGATGACCTTCATTTAGATATAGCAATATTGAAAAAAATGGATGTTTAATTCCTAAAAGACGATTTTCCACAGTGAAATGGCAGTTTTTGAAATTTCATCAAAAATATACTTTTAATTTGTATCAGCTGTGAATAGTACCAGTTAAGCCGTACATGGAGTCCACCTGCATGACAACAAAATAGCCAAGTCCAGTGAATATCTGATACACGAATAGCACACACACGAATGCGCAGTAGAATATGATCGATTCTTACTTCCTTTTGCGATCAGTTACTTGCGCCTTTTATTAAACTTTAATCTTTTGGATAAAACGAACAAAAAGTTCCGATGCATTGCTAAAAAATGTATTATAGCCTTTCGGGTCATCCGCGAATTATCCGCAAAAGTCTCGTTTATTTATTTGAGAACAACGAAACTGGGCCAACAAGCGCCGTGTGCTTGCCAGCCAGTGGCAACAACATATCACCACTTACCACTTGAAAGAAGATTGATCTTACGGAATTCATTACTGGCGTATAATCGCACGCAGAAAGACCACGATTTCGATGTTCGAGCTTGCTTATTGTGAGGCTTCGGAATAAAATCATAAAATCAAATCTTTCGTTTAAAAATGGATGTGCAAGGATGATGAACGTTGTTCGGCGCTTCACTTTATTCCAGTAATTAATGGTGCGAATGAAAAAATTATGACTTCTTTACTTAGATCTGCAAATAAATTTTGATAAATTTAGCCTATTAGATCTCGTTGTGTTCCAAATTTAACCGCCTAAAATTATAATAGTTGGAATAATCTAACATAAGTTGACATAAATTGAAAATTTGACGTTATATATATATATATATATATATATATTAAATCCTGTTTAAATCGTCGAACTAGAGGAGGGAGTTTATGTTACATAACTGCAATTTTATGATTAAGGTTGTAGAGAGGTGATATTTCTGGAGTTCTTCAATTAATTGACTTGATTTGCGGCATGTGAGGGGAATAAGAGGTATTTTATTCAATAAGAGGCCGAACGAATACTTGTATGCTTTGATAAAATTTTCAGTTGTGTTTTTAACCAATCAAAAAATAAAATTTAATATTATTGAGGACTTCTTTACTGCTGCTGTATTATGAAGGTCGAAATCAAGAGGTCTTTAACTATTCTATGAAAAAAATGAACGAAGCTGCAAAAATATGAAATCATGTCTTACAAGACATTTTC